CCTGTGTGAAACCAGGCGGCATTCTACTGGAATGTTTTTTTTTCAAAAAAAGTATTAATTGTGCCGCAAATGCTAGACAAATATCGCAAAAATTCTGCCATAGCTGGGAGCCGACATCAGTGGTGGACTGGCATGTCCAGTCCAGGAATGTACCCCACTTAGGCTCTAAAGGCGCATGCTTGCAAAGGCTACAGGAATGAACTTAACAGAAGTCTCCTTATGCTTATACTCCATTCCAAGAGCCTAAATACCAAAAGTTTTGCAATGAGAGGAAAGGTAACTGTCGCATTTTCTGATGTTTCCCAAGTGATGCGTGAATGAAGAAAGGTGCAAGCCTTTGAAACGCATAGTAAAAAAGTCGAATGAAGAGGAAGTGGAGACCGAGTATTTTGGAGCTACTAATGTCGCTAAATCACAGAGCACGCTAGAGTAAAGTCAAGATTACACCACTAGTTGTGGCATGGCCTTCTATAGCAGTACTGGCAAGTGCGGTTGTTCGATCTCTTACAATCAGTGAACTATACCACACCGCTTACTTTCTAAAATGGAACGGCGGAGAAAATAATGCAAACTCTTGTTTAAAATCATTGGCCAAAAATACGCTGTGGTGCATGAAGTGCTCCGAAACAGTAGAGACTAAGACTGCGGCTGGAAGTATTTTAAGAGAAACCTGGGAAATAGAGCAGATAAAATCGCATCGATTTCTTACACTCCACTCGATCATGAAAGGTCCAACAAATTGTTTATCAGCGTTTTTATGCTTATTAAATTCCTCCTTGACGTATTTATCGCCGACCATGCGCATTTCGGTTGGAAGGGAGCGGTGAAGCCGCAGGATCAGTTTGTACAAAAATCTGACGCGTTCGGGATGCGTCATAATTTCTTTTCCCTTCATAGTGCCTGCAGACCAAGTGAGACGCGGACTAGCGGTGACGGAAGAAACTAAACGGAACAGGGAATAAAAAGATAAATTTCAATAGGCTGACCGAGGAATAAGGACGGAAAGGGAAAAACATATGCAGCTGGATATGTTTCACTTCATTTTTTAAGCTCGTAAGTCCTATTGTTGAGCGAAACAGTTTCCAGACCGTACCATGCTTAAACAACGCGAGCGTGCACGCCGGAAAAATACATCGGGATAAAAGGAAAAAATCGTCAGGTTTCGGTAGACAACTCAACATCGGTTCTGTTAGAAACTATAGCTGTTTGTCGACTTGTACTTTTACTTATCATGGCTGTAATCATGCGTGATCTAGCCGGCCTCGACTATGTCCAGAATGTTAATTTTTCACGCGTGGCGATCCGTGGCAGCAAACTTGGAAAGTTAGAACCGTTCTCTTCGTCAACGCAGGAGGCCGAATACCGAAGGTCCAAGAACAACTGCCATGCCCTGACGGACTGATTCGAGCCAGGTTTTGAGCTGATCGCCTCTTCGACGCCTCCAATTGGGTAACGGTGTCGGATCGAGGGCGATTACGCTGAGTTCGCGAGGTTGACGATAAGGAACGTGTCCGAAACACCTCAGTCGTCTTTCTTGGATGGTCTGGGATATCCTTGCAATGTCGTTGCAGCGAGTTCGGATTGTCTCATTTGAGAAGTCGGTGTGCCTCATTCGAAGCATGGTCCTCAAACAGTAATGGCCAAATACCCCCAGTTTCCTTTTATCCTACACGCGCATAGCCGAGCACTCGCAGCTGTAAAGAACAGATCGCACAGATGCACGGTACGCACGGACCTTCGTGAATATGGAAATAGCACGTCGGGTCCATAGGCACTTTCGGAGGTTGGAGAAAACTCGACTAGCTGCATCGATTTGGGAGACAATGTCATCCTTACTTTCTCCATTCGGCAGCAACCTCGCTTCGAGGTATTTGAAATGTTTAATTCTTAAATTTGACAGCAATCAACCTAAAAATGTGTCCTCTCTTGGTTAGGGATGCAACATAAAAACACTTTGGCCTTCCCAGCGTTTATAGATAAACCGGCCAATTTAGTGACCTCATTTACCCGTAACACCATGAACTGTAGACAATCAAAGCTTGCAGCTAATAATGCTATATCCTCGACGTAGTCGAGATCAGTCAGCCGGCGTTCAGGTGCAAGCTCAACACCGTCCTTTTCATGTGGGACCTTCTCGAGAATCCAGTCAATCACGTAGTTGAACAGAATAGGTTACAGGACACAGCCCTGTCAAACGCTAGACCGAATAGCTAACGCTTCTGAAAGGGTTTTATGGACCAGAACCCGCGCAGTGGTTGAGCGTTAGTAGGGCTTGATCATGAGATTATTTTTGGTGGTACACCGTCGAATGCTATTATCCGCC